GCACTCCAATTGGATTCTCTCTTCTCGATGGATGCCTATCGAGTCGACACGAGTCTCTATGATGATTTCTACCGCATGGAGGTTTCGGCGTGCTTGTTGCGGACGCCGCGCGCAATTTTTCTCCAGTGCTGGCCCACCTGAGCGTGACCTCCGTCGGATGCGCGTCTTGGCCTGATCGGTGAGGCGGCGGCGACTACGGCTGCTTTCCAATACGACTACCACGAAGAGCGCGTGACTCATATCTGGGTACGGGCAATGATACGAAATTAAGGGTTTCCACGATGGGAGCGTCCCAAAGTCACCGATCTCTATGTTTTGGAATGTATCCGAGACAATCGAGTCAGACACGGAAACTTGCGTTCTCGTTAGGGAATCGAATGCAACGGATTTTCTCGCTAAATATGATTATCGACGGCAGTTCATTCCATCGGTGTTGCATCCGGAATGGATCCGCCGACTTCGTGAGGAGTTCAGACCACTAGCAGAACCTATCCCGTTTCTTAAGGAGGGCTGAGAACCTCGCCTCGTCCCGCCGCATAGGTATTCAATTCCGGCGAATCCTGCTCTGAAGCTCTAGACTTTACGAGAGTGTGCCAATTGAAGCAACAGTTCCACTGGGAAGAGAAGAAGACCTAGGAGGGAATCGTTGTCGCGAGAATTACGATTCCTCCTCGGCTCTTCAAGCAATTATCAAGCTAACAAGGCTCGAGGGAGAATCAAGCAAGCGATTGGTGGAGAGGAGCACCACTGAATTGATCGGCTGGCACTTGACAATATCTTCTCGATGGGTCCAATAGGAATCATTTCGTTTTTCCAAAACTCATCCGGAACCTGATTATTCGAGGACGTGTGATGTTTCCGTCGTATGCTCATACCTGATTTCGACAAAGGCACCGGATGCGTTCTTGGACGCCGTCGCCGAGAGAGAAAAAACGTTTCCCCTCCAGATGAATGTGTTTTGTTATTGATCGGATACGGAACTGTGAGTAAGTCTCCGGCTGATTGTCCATCAATGAGAATGTGCGTAAATCCGATCAAGCTCGGATTCATGCCCCTCCGCATCTTCTCTGTATCATTTTTGTTCTCCGTCGGTATACACGCCACAGGAGCGCTTCGCAACGACCGAAATTTTCCGAGAGCCCACCCCGGTGCAGAGCAAGTCTAGAAGGCTGCGAGGAGGCTTCGTCAGGCTGTGTCCGGATGAATTATGATCCATCGTATCAATCCGAACGTAGCATCGAATTTCTCGTTCGAGTCCTGGAGACCTATTACAGAGTAGACTCGTTTCTCCTGGCAAAAACGTGACGGCGAATTCTCTTCATCCATCAATGAGACTAATCAATGCACACAATTTCGAAATGAGCTAAAGACTCGAATCGGAAGTCTCCCGGGGAGCCAGTTGTACGGAGACCCATGCATCAGCTGAAAAACCAGAGAACGTCCATGTGGGCTCCGATGTCGTTGTTATTGATGAAAATTTGAATTCGATGGAAACAGCGAATAACGTTCGTTTGTGGTTGGAGAGGGAGCTGGATGTGCTCGACTAAGTGAAGCTCAGGACCGGATCGTTCGAATTCTTTTTTTTTTGTCTAAAATTGATACAAATCGAGACTGAGCGTCGTTCGTTCCACCGCCTCGAGATGGCATTCTCTGGAGAATATTCGAAGCTGGCCGGGACCCGCTACGTCTCGGCCCGTTAGTGTTCGAGACATTCATTTATACGGTCACAGCTGAATTCAAACTTTTTGTTTTGGCAGTTCCGCCTCCATCCTCGCGGTATCGATCACGATGTTGCCATGATCTCGGAACCGATTCCCACTTCGAAATCTGATGTTCCCGGAATGACATCGGTGCGAGTTAGCGCACAGTGGGATTTTGTTTCCTCTGGCCAACAAAGCTCCAGCCCCCCTGGCGGGCTGAGCGCGATTCCTCCCAACATTATTACATCGATCCGAAGCGGGTGGGTTTCGAGAGCGCGAGCACACCGACGAGTGAGGAGCGAGAAAATCTAACGGGTATCATACGCTTCGGTTTTCAATTAAACAGAAATAGAGAAAGTGAATCAGCGAACTGTACAGGAGTCCGGCCAGCTCTCTATTCAGGACCTCTGCGACGGTTCCGCTCACGGTGGAATTTGTTTGCGCCATCTTGCCTTCATCCAGCTGTAACGAAGCTCTGTTTCGTCTATCTCTCCACTGTTTTGCTCGTTTATTCGCTTCTCGTTGCCGGGCCGAGGCAATGAGTTGCTCCGCGGCCCGCCAGCGAGCAAACGGGCGGACTCGGACTCGAACTGTGAGCTCAGTCACCATTACCAAATGCGGGCACGTTTCGAGCGTGCCACCCATACCATACACAGTCTGGTCAATGGGGTTGCTAGGTTGGCTTTGTTGCCTTATTTAAGGCAAGCCACTACTCCGCTGTCCCTCCGGCCTTCGTTTGGTATGTCGCCTAGATTTGTTTATTTTACTCTCGCCGGGCCCCGAAAAACTTTTTCGCTCATTGCGCGGTCTGGCGGATCGCCGAAAATCCGCCGGCTGGTCATGACGAGACAGCAGCAGAGCCGGATAGGGACTTCCCTCGATTCGGTTAAATTGCTTCTCCGCTGTTTTTGTCTGAGGTCAGAGGAGGCTGAAAATTCCCCGACGGACTGACGCAGGCATTGAGCGCAATAGGAGATCGACTTCGTCGTTGATTGCCCGTTCGGCAATCTATTGAATTTCCTCAACCAGTCGATTCTCGTGGCATCCCGGATGGATGCACCTGATCGGCGGTAATAATCGATGGCCGCGAAGTCTTGCCCGGAAGTCCCTCAGAGAAGCAACAAGTGATCTACAGTCGATTAGCGACAGGCAATCGCAACAATGGAGATTATTGGCAGCGGTAGCAGGCACGGAAAAGTATACATACGGCACTGTTTGACCTCAGGAGGTATTCACTTTAGCTCCGCTCGCCAGCTCGGTAGGTCGTTCGAAGGGAGAGAGAAGCGATGACGAGAATATAATAGTCAGTCGACCAGCTTATGAATCGAATAGTAGTCTGAGCGGTCTGGGACTACTCTCGGGCGGGTATCACCACTATCACCAAATCACCACTATAATTATAATACAGACGCGACCGGACGAGACGGCGTGGCGTGCCCAGAATTGCGCTTGGTGTCAGTTATGTAGCGAGTGACGGTGTGAGCGGTAGTGGTAGAAGAGCTTGCGGTTCCCGAAGTGGATGCAACGACGGTGCTGCCGCTCGTGGTGGATGCAGGGTCGTGCCGAACCCGAGTATACTCGAGTAGTCTATGATGTGAACAATTATTCACCCCAGATGGATTCTGCAACACGGAGCTGATGGAGCTTACCGTCGCTGTTTCCTGATCTCGCTAATGATACCTAGTCAACAGTTCATCTAGTTCTGAATAGCGGAAGACGTCGAGGGCCCCGGAATACGAAGGAGATACGATAATAATCCCTACAGAGCGACGCGGGGCGGAAATTCTTCGTTGAACTGCTCGTTATAGAATTCGGATGGGCTCGGAGTTTCCTGTTGCGCGCAATTTGGTCGCTCTAGCTCCTTTCCAGACGAGTCGATTCCCTCGCGAGCCAGTGAGAAGGATTTCCGGTCACGGAACTGTCCATGGTGGGCGAGGAATTCCTCTGCATGTTCGTGAATTTCGCTTCTTCACCGAGAGGGAAATCGTGGCGAAGAGCAAAGCTCGCCGGTCTCTTTTAATGGACTGAACAATAATTCCGATACTCATGGATGCGAGCGGAGCAAGGCCAGTACTCGCGCGGCTGTTTGTGGTGGTAGTGATAGCATCGACGGAATAGGCGACGGTGGTGGCGGTCGTGATGGTGATGGCGGTGGGCATCACATAGTAGGAGCGAGGCTCGACGGGGGAGAATGAGAGGCTCTCATTAGCACACCACAGTCTAATTTTATCCGTCCCAAGTAATGGCTTTGTATTAACATCCAGCCAGCGTTATAGCCGTGTCAGGAATAGTGAGATGGAGGCAGGCAATGAAAATCACGACTCGACGATATTCTTTGAGGGCCATATCAGGGACCATTTCATTCATTTTAATGCATGCAACCAGTCCCCCCAACCTGGCCGATGGCCGAAGGTTCCTCGCGAGCGGCTTTCCGCTTCTGCTTCCCGGAGTGAGTGGAATTCACTGACGAACCATGGCGGAAATCCAGCGGAACCTTTACCTTAAAGTAGGAAACTATGCGGAGACTTCTTCGGTTCGTCTCCCGAAGACCATCAGCCAGCCAACCTACCGCTCGAAGACGCCGTGGAGAATTCCTGGCGAGGAATTCGAAGCTGTGCTGAATGTCATTTCATAAAGACACGCTTCTCGCCGTCGTGGCCCCCAACCATGCTTCTCGGGAGAGCGCCTCGCTTCCCGAATGTATGTAGGAACGTTCAGCCTCAACATACCGACGGAGAGAGGAACTTTGCATATGCGCCTTCCTTGTGAATTCCTTTGTTGTCTGTAGAAGTTTCCATCTCTCCATTGTGCCGGGCGTTGCTGAGCGTACGCCCTGGATGAGATTTTAATAAATGTTCGCACATTCCTCAACCTGTTGCAGGTGTGGGTCAAGTCTCCTACCCCCCCCTCACATCTCGTCGGAGTCAATCCATGGGAAACCTTGAGAGACAAACAGTATTTCCCCTTGTATGGGGCCTCAGCAATCGGAGGGGCTAGCTCCAATGATCGAAGAGCCACTGTGAAGCGATCGGAACATACAAGTCTATCTTTCATTAGATGGGCTCTGTCGAATAGATGGGCACTCGAGGCCTCACCGTACTATAGTGGGTTCCTCGGTTCTTTCCCGAGCCCAAGTCCATCCGGAGTACAACTCCTCGGATCTTTCACTTTTGGGGGGACATTCCAGTGAACTAGGATATGTTTTGTGCGTAGGTTCAAGCATATGCGTTTTTGAGGATGATCAATCATGACAGATTTACGGAAAATTCCAGGCCAAGCCTCGTCAGCATGGACGGGGATCCCCGGAGGCTGGTGGATTACTTCGTGGTTGCCGGCATCTCGGACGAGCCGAGCCAGATGCAGGACACCACCGAGCTTGAGGACCAGCTCCCGATCACCGACATAGCCGTGATCATCGCGTCTCAGAAGGAGCAAGCTCCTCTGGAGTACACCTGCATTGAGCGAACCCCCTCGGGCCACTCGGCCGACCTGAACCACGGGAGCATCCGGTGCCAGACTGTTTTCCTGTGCTATCGGAGAGGCCTCGACAAGCCTCCACTGACGGATATCGGGTGAGTTGAGAACGTTGCAAGTCTGTTGCCCGTTCGATTGCTCAACATTTTCGAGTTGCTGCTGAAAGTTCCACGCCCTTCCGAGCGATATCTCTTGCGCACGCGCGCTCTCCGAATCGTCTTTCCGGTCGGGCAGCAGCGGGCATACCGTGAAACGTCAGCCCATTCTTATTATTCACTTTCGTACACATCGCGGCTACAAGTTTGTACTTTCGCTTGGTCGGGGAACAGATAAAGGAACTGGTCAAGCGAACAGAGAGCTTGCTGAACCAGTGAAAGGGAATGCGACCGCAGGGCGGGTCGAGGGCTGCCTGCGGAGCGAAACTAACCATGGATTTAATTTCAGCGTCCTCTATGAAGATAAGCAACGAATCATGCCTGACAGTGAAGTCCTCGACACTACGCCTTATGGCCGAGTGGCCAACGTCAACAACTCGTCGTCGTCGAGAACTTTCCTGACGTTTCGAAGAGCTCCTGAAACGGCGTCTTCCAACACTCTCGTGGTGAAGGATATTTGCGTCATCTTAGCGAGCAAAGGAGAGACCCCGCCGCACGCTTACTGTAAAATCGATCGGAACCTCAACAAGAGCGTCATTGGTACAGACGTTTATATTTGCTACAAGAAATCCGTTCATAGACCACCGTACATCTTGTATCGACCGGAAACGATACTCCGTTTTCCCACCTACGACAAACGCCCATTCCCGCTGCCTCAAGAAGTTCATCTGTTCAGCCTGCCGCTGGGCGCCACCGTGGAAAAGTGGAAAACCTACTGGGATAAACCCGGACCGGAGTTCGCGACGTTCGTGTTCACGTCCCAGACGGCGACTCGAGCCTACGGTGCGTCGTTGAGTTTTTACGAGCCCTACGAACCGAACTCGGAAGAGATAGCTCTCCTCGGCCCCATCCAAGACAAAGAAAAGTGCTACGCGACGAAAAGTATCTGCGTGGTGTCGCGGTACCCGTTCTTCAAAATTTTTAAGAAATTCCTCCAATTCATCTTCTCGCAAAGCACGAGTTTGAGACGGGAGAACTCGATCGAACAATATATTTTGCATTTTATCTTCAACATACCGCTCCCGACCATTGAAAGACCCCGGGTCACGGTTCCCCTGAACATGGATCACAGTCTGGCCCTCCGACATCTGACGGATACCTCCCTACCGACATCCGGGGCGTCTTTCCTGGAGCTTTTGAGCAATCTCGGGCCCGACAACTGTATACTCACACTACTGCTCGTCTTGACTGAGAACAAAATTCTCATCCATTCGCTCCGGCCCGAGCTGGTTTCGTTCGTGTCGGAGGCCCTCGTGTCGGCCTGTTTCCCGCTGAGCTGGCAATGTCCGTACGTTCCGCTGTGCCCACTTGGTCTCGCAGAAATACTCATGGCTCCGCTGCCGTTTTTGGTCGGTGTGGACTCGAGATATTTCGATCTCCACGAGCTACCAAGCGATGTCATTTGTGTTGATCTCGATACGAACAGCATCTACATACCTGAAGAGAAGCAATACCTTCATCCTCGCATGATGCCGAGACGAGCGACGAAGAAACTGAAGCAGACGCTCACCGACCTCTTCGAAAAAGTCGGTCACTACCGCATCCAATATCACGAAATTCACACTTCGATAAAGGATCGAACCGAAGCCGACTTCGCCGTCCTTCGCAAGGAGCGCGATCTCGATCTACAGATTCAGGACGCATTTCTGAAATTTATGGTTGAAACCCTGCGGGACTTCCGTCAATTTCTCCGGCCTGTCACCGAAAAACCCAAGAATGTGACCGCTGAGACGCTTTTCGACGTGGAGAACTTCCTGCGTACGAAAGACAAAGCCCACGAGGAATTCTATTTTCTCCTCGTCGAGACCCAGATGTTCAGTCGATTGGTCGAAGAGCGAAGTTTCCTGTCGGAGAACGATCATTCGTTGGCTTTTTTCGACCAGTGCTGTGATCAGTGCGATAGCTCGGGACAGGTTTGCGACGACTTGTTGCGCATCGATGCCGGCGAGGACAACCACACCGCTTATATCGCGCCTCCCGAACCGCCACAAAACCCCGAACACCTGAAATTCAACGGCTGGGCCAATCTCAACTTCGATAATTTCACCAGCATGTTCGTGGGCGCACAGGCTCTCGATGGTGAGCGAGTACAATATTTCGGATCCTCGGGGCTTTAAAGGGGCGAGTAGCGCCTCCTGGAGCCGGAGCCCTTCAGGTTTCGCTACGCTCTCATTCATTATTTATTTACGTCGATCGACGGCAGGAACGATACGTTTTCTGTTCTTGTGTGTGTTGTTCTAACAGAAGACGCTTCCCGTCCAGAGCTCGACAACGGCTTGACGCCAAACATCGAAGAGTATCCCGGGAGTCCTATAATAAAACGAACGAAGCACGAAGTGAAGTCGGCTATAAAATCAGCTCGACAGCAGAACGAAGTTCCCGCTAGATGGGGTCGAGTACTCCTCAGCGCTTGTTACTCGATATGGTTTGTTCACTTGCCGTCCTACCTGGCGACCATTCCGGAATCCGAACGACCCGCCGCAGTCCGAATGGCATTCCAGATATTGTGTGATGCCCAGCAGCGATTAAGTCACCCCGTCGATGAGGTGCGTTTCGGAGTAATCGATATAACAATTCGAGCTCATTCATAAGGTTCTCAGAATCCGATAGCGAATGCTCAGGACTAGACGCAAAAGTCTCTGTGAGGATTTACATGGGTGCAAGTGACAAAATCCCATCATCACTTCATATTGAAGCGGAGTATTGCGCGGGCGTTCTTATTGAATGTTTTCTTCCGCGTTCTAGGTTTGCTACCGGGTCATCTTGTCTCAGTGCGCCATTCTATCGCAACCCGCTCTGGCAGTAAAAGTTCTGATGGAGACGAAGCAACGGAAGATATTTCTAAACGCCATGACACATGGCTATTACAATAAAGCGGTTATGGTCTCTTCGTGGCCGCAGTCGAAGGCATGGAAGAGACTCAAGAATGTCATTTATGGCGTAGCGCAGTTCAAAACGGCTCTACGAAGGAGTCGAACGACTTCGGTCGCGGCCAGTACGACTTCCTTAGAAGGCATCACCAGGATGCCATCCACGCTTTCGCTGCCCCGCAGCTACAAGGAAACTTACAGTGAGTCATCAACAGCGGCTCATTGTACCCGGCAACGGATCTCATTCTTATTTTCGGTGGTGCTCGGCTCCATATGAACTGAGTGAGTCCCTTGAAGTGTTTTTCTCCCTCAACATTTGTACCGATATTGCTTACAGTGCCGTCAGCCGGAGTTCTGATGGGTGGAACAACTTCGCGACAGACAACACCCACGAGAACGCCCACCAACACCCTCAGACGGAGCAAAAGCTGTGAGGCATCGCTCTCGATGGAGAAATATATTAGAGAGGAGTCCGCTTTCATCAAATTCAGGGTGAGCAGTCCTACGTGAATTCCGTCATCCTACCCTCGTCGTCTGTGTCTATACGTACATGAATTCCATATCGTAGTATGTCTATCACTAAACGAGGTTTCGATTGGCGTTCCCGCACAGACCGCGCCTGCCTCAATGACTCTGCTCGAACAGCCGCGCGAGTTTTTCGCCAAGACCGTGAGCCCCTCGCTCCAACGCATGGGAAATTACGGTTCGGGTCTGCTCCAAAGTTTACTCAAGGATCGCTCAAATCTGTCGAAAATCCGTCGTTTCTCCGCCGGCCCCATTCGGCAGCCAGACCTGTCTGATTTAAGGTAAATTTCGTTCGATAGTCGATCAACCTCGATCGAATACAATTCTTGAGCTCCGTTGGAAAGTTTCCGCGTGCGCGGGTCTCTCCGAGGGAGCTCAGAGATATTTTGCGTCCTCCTCATCTCCCGGATGAGACTGTTCGGTACCGATCGGAGCACGTTCGCGCCGTATTCAAAAGTTGGGAATACGTCTGTCCGTCTCACCGGTGAACCATTTTCGATTACAGACGTCCAAACAGCTCTCCCATCGGTCGGGCGGCACCGGCGGGTGGAATGGATGTCATGGGCAATCTACGCTCAATGGCGTCGCGTCTCACCTCGATGATCAACACAGATTCTTATCGAATTCCTGCCTCTCGATCACTGGACCAAATGTTCAATAAACTGCCCCCTCAGGAGGCAAGCTACAATGGCTTTACGCACGCTCCCGGTGGGAAAGTGGCCAGCGGGTTCGTGCACATAACAATGAGTTCCTGTTGTCAATGTGTCAGCTGCAAAAGTCTTGTTTATGACGAAGAGATCATGAGCGGTTGGACCGCCGATGATTCGAATCTCAAAACGAAATGCTGGTGTAACGCGTCGTTCGTCCCTCAACTCTTCGTCACAGTCAAAGATCGTCGAGACTTACATAAGGAGGTGAGTTCCGCTAATTAGTGATCGAGAATTTCACCGCAAATTCCATTTCCCCGAATGTCACCGCGAGGCTCCGGCTCCCTTGGATGAATCTCGAGAAGTGAGAAAATTCGACTCTAGCGCGAGGCGCGGATCGCTTATTACTCTCGGATTCTATTCGCAGGAAAACTTCGCTCCATGTGACTTCACAGTGCCTTATCTTAGTCCTCTTGTTCTACAAAAAGAAGTGGAGAACGTCCTCGAAGCCGGCAGTGAGATTTTCACACGGCCCAACTTCGTAGACGAGCATCCGATCATTTACTGGAATCTAGTAAGTGTTCCGAATAATCCTGATCGCTGTACGACAGATTCATGAACGAATGACGCGGATATCAACCCGCTCCGATTCTTGTCAGACCAGATAACTGATGGAGACTCTCCCGTTCGATTCAAGGTGTGGTATTTCTATCGTCTGAAGCTCCCGACGAATATAGACCAGCTCTGCGTTCGTAGTGGCATCCTGCATAAGGGTTTACAGAGTTCTCAAGAAGACTCGACGCTATCGAAATCTCCGGTCATCGTGAAAACGCTTTGGGACAATCCCAAATTACACGACTGCATAACACCGCCGCTGTATACTGTGTACAAGCCGGGCGACCTCTACATAGACGAAAACGACCCCTCAGGTTTTAAACGGTGAGTTCTAGCCTGGCTACTAACAGAAAGAGATAATCAGACTCGCATCCCGATCGGATTGTCCCGCGAGTTTAATGGAATTTCACGGCAAAAAATCTCTTCTCAGCGCTGGTCGTACCATACTCGAGCACATGAAGTCCGGTAGTGAGAGCAACGTTCGAGACGCCGTCGTATTCTTGATGAAGGAGCGGCAGAAGTGGAAATTCCGTAGGAATCCCTCGATTTACAGAGAAATCCTGTTCTTGCTCATACTGGAGTTCGGTGCCAACATAATCAATCCAGGTAAGATGTCATGACACGGATCCATGCCGGTTGATCCCAGTGAATCGATCCATTGACCAAATCCATCTCTTCCTCGCCCTCGACATTCATTCCAAGCTAGTGTTCATGCATGCATGCATTCATATATCTCCCAGATGATATTCGATTGTCCTGGGGAAATTCTTCCATCGATCTTGACCTTTCTGAATCCTGACTCCTCTCTTCCAGAATGGTTGGATCGAGAATACCATCGGGTTTACGACGAGTTAGCTAGCTACCGGAATCAGATTTTCCAGTATGATCGTTACCCATCGCTCCACGCGCGCTTTGCCCGGAGATACTTCGGAGATCTCGACCTCTTCTAGTTGCAATAAGGGAACGCAATAGTTTACGTTGTCGATTCGCTCCAGACGTTCCATTAAGGGGTACCAAAGAATAGGTTGACTTGAATTCTCCGTCTGCGTCGCCTACCATATTTGTGTTTGTCTGCGATCGCATCGCGAGCATATCGTCCAGTTCTGTACTGGAACGAGTTCGAAGCGTCAGCGGCGGATTCTTCGATTCGAGAACTCGGCTCTTCGGAAAGCAGTGACCTGATGTTTAATGGAGGAGAGAGTAGGAGTAGTTTTGTACCGTTGGAACTTTCCCTGCGGATAATACGGAACGATTGTGCAAAATATCATTCGTTTTCTCTTGCCGGTCTCTACCATCCGTTTTAGATTTTCTTCCTCGAAGAGACGATTCGAATTGATTGTTTGTTTACGGACGCCTCGCATCTTGCGTTCGAGGTTAGGATAATTTTTAATGAAGTTTATTGCATATTGCCGAAAGAAGTTCTTGAAACTTCGCCGGAATATTTACATGTTGTTGATATCGAGTGCTACGTTAGTGAATATCGGCGACGAGACCCAAGAAAAAAAAACTGTATATAGCATGTGCACTCCGTTTTGATATCTATGAGAGACCGAATAAAAATGGCAGTCAGGTGAAAGCGAGCCACGTCTTTTCTCCCATTCTTTCGATCAATGGTTGTGATTTAGAATAATTCAGGACCTCGACTTAAGGTAGAAAATTATATATTTCGTTCCTTCAATAACTTACAATTAGATACGCTTCGTAAATTTCGAAAATGTATTACTCTAATAATATCCGCCCGTTCTATGCAGAGGACACTGAGCTACCTCCCCGTCATCCTGGAGCTAAGTTTACAAACTTTACAGATTTTCTCACGAACACATTCAAGACCAGGGAACGTGTCATCGGGAGCTTTCAAATAACATTCTGGAGAAGACTCTCGATCAACTCTAAAAGACGATTTTGAACACTTCATCGTAAGTGTTGACGAAATGCGCCTCAATATCCGCACGAACGAAGTCTGGTAGGTCGCTGAAGTCTCTGCGGTTGCCTTCCGGTAAAACCACGAGCTCAACTCCGCTGCGTTTCGCTGCGATAATTTTCTCCCGTATACCACCGACAGGGAGAACTTTTCCCGTCAGTGAGACTTCACCAGTCATGGCAACTCCTTTTTTCACCGGCAGACCTTTCGCCAAACTGACTAGAGCGGTCACCATCGTGATCCCGGCGCTGGGGCCGTCCTTGGGGGTGGCGCCCTCAGGCACGTGCAAGTGTATTTTCGCGAACCGCAGGAATTTGTTCTCCGCATCGGTCTGAGCCAAGAAATTCTTGGCGACTGAATGCGCGATGGAGACGCTTTCTTTCATCACGTCGCCAAGGTGTCCCGTGATATGAACACCGGCTTTGCCCTCCTTGTAGTCCACAGGCTCTGTCAGCGTTGTTTCGATGTATAAGGTCGCGCCGCCCATGGCGGTCCACGCGAGTCCGGTGACCACTCCCGGCGGGGTGATATCGTAGATACCCTCGTTGATGAAAATAGGTTTCCCAACGAAATCTTGCAAATTCTCCTCGCTCACACCAACCGTCTCTGTTTCCTTGCTGACTATCTTGAAGGCCGACTTGCGGAAAATCTTCTCGATGTGCTTCTGTAGATTTCTGACGCCACTCTCACGCGCATAGTGCTTGATAAGAGTCTGAATCGCACTTTTTTCCACTGTGATTTTATCGTCCGTGAGCCCGGTAGCCGTTCGCGCTTGCGGTATCAAATACATTTGGGCGATGCTGACCTTCTCTTCCGGGACGTACCCACTGACTTCGATCATCTCCATTCGATCTCTGAGCGGATCGGGGATCGTATCCAGAACATTTGCCGTGCAGATAAAGAGGACCTGCGTATTCAGAATCGAGGAATGTTATTTGTTTGGCTCAACATCGTCGACAGCTGGAGGGCTGCAACTATATCCACCATAATTCATAGATCATAAATGCATCCTCCGGTGAAATGATGTGTTGAGGCGAGAGTATTATGAGGTCAACAATGTCAAAAATTCAGAATTTCCCCGGAATCGATACTCACCTTCGAAAGGTCTATATTGAGATCGAGGTAATGATCCAGGAAATTCGCGTTTTGTTCGGGGTCCAGAACCTCCAAGAGAGCCGAGCTGGGGTCACCTTGATGGCCTCTGCCGATTTTGTCGACTTCGTCGATCAATACGAGGGGATTTTCGGTCTGAACTTTCTTAAGGCACTGAACGAGCTTGCCAGGCATTGCACCGACATAAGTCCTCCGATGTCCCTTGATTTCCGCCACATCTGTCATACCGCCCACGGAGAACCTGAAGTACTCCCTGTTCAATGCTTTGGCAATCGACTTGGCGATGCTGGTTTTACCGACCCCAGGAGGGCCGTGGAAACAGAGAATCTTTCCTTGTGTGCTGCCTTTGAGTTGGCTCACGGCTATGAATTCGAGAATGCGTTTCTTCACGTCCTCCATTCCATAGTGGTCCTCGTCGAGAGCAGCTCTCGCGCGCTCCAGATCTAGGTTCTCCTCGGAGAACTTGCCCCAAGGCAACGATATCAACCATTGCAGATAGTTTCTCGTGACACTAAATTCGCTCGAGTGGCTGTCGAGGAACGAAAGCTTGTTCAACTCTTCCTCCATGACTTTGGTCACTTGCTCGGGCATGTTCAGCTCTTTCATTTTCTGTCGGCATTTCTCTTCGACTGCGTCCTTGTCTTCTTTCTCTAGTCCCAGCTCTTTTTTGATGACTTTCAACTGTTCCTGGAGCATGAACTTGCGATGCTGTTGTTTGACTTTATCCTCGACCTCTTTACCTATCTTCTGCTGGAGTTTCGTCAACTCCAATTCTTTCTTCAGCAGAGCCAGAGCCAGGTACAATCGTTTGGGAATGTTCTGTTCGGTCAGAATCTCTTGCAGCTCCACGGACTCGCCAGCCGTGAGCGCCGCGCTGAGATCGCTCAGATACACGGGGTTGTCGACGACCTGGTGACCCGAGTGGATGACTTGCTTGATTGACTCTCGGTAAAGCGGGTTCATCGAAATGATGTCTCGGATCGTTTTTATGATCTCCTGAGTTACTGCCTTGATTTCTTCAGTCGTCTCAAACGGTTCGTGTAGGATGTTCTCGACTTCGACCATCAGAACTTTGAGTTTCCTCTCCTCGGCGGATACTGTCTCGCGCACTGGGATCTCGGGCTCGCCTGCGCCGTTTTCAGGCTGAGCGGCCTCCTGTTGTGCCGAATCCTCCGTTCCACTCTTTCCGTTGCGACGTCGACGCCGACTTTTGGGTTTCGTGAGTTCGTTTTCTATAATGGAGTCTTCGTCGATCAGCTCCTTCACTCGAACTCTGCGGTGACCCATTACGATAAGGCGGAGTCGGTTTCCCATGTCTTGCACTTCGTGGATTTGCACAAAGGTTCCCACAGGGTAAATTTCGTCCAGACTTGAAACGATGTCGCCCTCATGGTTGTCGTTCTTCTTCATGAAAACTCCCGCATAGGGTTGATTGAGACGGACTTTCTGTTTAATTAGTTGAATTAAGGCAGGATCAGATATTTCGATCATTTTGATAAAGCGTGGAAACACCGGATGTCGGTTGACCGCGAGCACCGGGACCTTCGGCCAATAGTCCGGAACGGTGACGGGTGACAAAGCGGCGGGTGGGGGTGGAACTTCATCGAATCCTTCGTCATCTCCGGAGTTGGGCAACGTGGAGAAAGTTCTCAAACCTCGAAGAGAACCGAAGGACGTCGACGAATTCTTTATCAGGAGCCTCGAAGCATTCACAAGCGTTGGCACCTTATTCGAATTCCTCAACAAGACGCCGAGGGCACGCGACGCCCGGGCAACTCGGTACATTTTCCTCTGAGCTTCCTCGAATTCTAATCGAACAGCGCGCACCGCACGAGAGAGGTGTCCCACCACTACCACCGACGGCGGAGGCTCGATGCCGCTGCCGGCTGCTGATGTTGAACAACAGAGCAGATTGTCTCCTCAGGAAGGGAGCGCCGACTACCATCACAGCGCTGACTCTTTCGGCCTTTCGGCAGCCACGGTACTCGAGCCTTTTCAGACTTTCTGAGTGGCTCCGAGCTGCGGACCTGGGAGGGAGCTGAGGGTGGCTGGTCATCGTTCGTTGTGTCATCAAGCGAGTTGGTTGACGCCATTAGTAAAAGAGTCAGGTGCCCATTACAATACGGAGCTCTCTGTTGGCGGGGGGACTCTCCGAGATTGTTTGCTTGAGAGCCTCGCGAGGATCGCCGGGTGACACCGACTGTTTCGAACGGAAATTGAACAGAATTCGAATCGGAACATCATTTCACGGCTCGAGCGGCAATTCGAAAAGAAGACGCGATTCTAGTGCAGGAGCGAATCCGAGGACATCCGATACCAAACGGACTCAGTAGAGCACAGCTTGTCGAGAGTACGCTTCTTGGGGAGGTATCGGAGCGGGTTCTGATTCTCCATCGGATCATACCGATTATTTTCCGTCATCGGTCGATATAGTTTCTGACGTGAAACGTCTTCAAATCTACTCTGAGGGGTATTTCCAACTAAACTTCGTCTTCGTGTGACGAAATCTTGTCCGCCTTTGACATCTAATAAGTCTGCGAATGCGACACCAATTGTGATGAGGTTTCCGCTGGTAGAATTGAAATTTATGGGAGAACAGCTGTGTATATTCCTCACGATATTCTGGAGTATGTGTTCTGCAAGATGAGCTCGAATCTGACCCCCCATGAAGAGGTGTAGAAAACCGCATAAATAACTGATTTATTCAGTACAGGCTCTCCTTGTCAGTGCGCCAAGACTCTCGTAGGCGAATCAATGTAGGTCTCACCAATTACCGCCGGAATTTCCACTGTAGACTCTCGAGAACCGATCGAAAATTGGGGATAAACTATCAAATCCCGTTCCCCAATCCCACCGCTGCGCTCTTTCCTATTAATGTGTGCACCATCGCTCCCCATTACTTCTTCCAGTGTGCGAGTCGCAGATCTGGTTCTGCAAATGATGGAGCAGCGACCGGCCCCAGAGAGAGAAATCTCGGAAGGGTCGCCGATACCCCAGATGGAACTGCGGTGTCACACGATGCTTTTAACATAACCCTTGATTCAACTCAATCAGGGAGAAGCTGAAGCCATCTAGATCTAGAGGAGTTTCTCTACACCGCCGTCAAATGGGGTATTGAAATTGGGTTTCCAAGAGAGTTTCGGACCTAAACGAAACTGCGACAACGCCCGGAAAAATCAGCTTATTATGCGAAGTTATCGTGATGAGAAGTAGACTTATCCTGAGCAACAGTATCCCGCCGTTGCTCGATGAAATAGTTGAATCGAACTTTGAGGGAATCGAGTACCAGGTGCATGGGAAAACGACGCGCATCTTATTTCTCCCGAGATCGATCACGAGCACGAGACGGGGAAGCGGGAAGTCAGAGTCACCTCTTCCCCTTTGTGAACGGCGTGCTCTGTGAGTCCGTCACGCTGAAGTTTATGGCGGCGACCAGAAGCGAGTGTGCTATAGACATGAATTTTAGGTTGCAGAGAATTGTTAACGACTCTGTAGGACTAGATCAGTGGTTCCCAACCTTTTTCTTCCATTGAACCCCTAGGGGTTCCGCAGGGGTTCCGTAGGGGTTCCGCAGGTAGACTTTGGGGTTCAGCGCAATCCGCCACGGAACCCAAGGGTTCCGTGAAACCCCGGTTGGGAACCTCTGGACTAGATAATACCGTTGTTTTCAAACATGGGAGACGGACCAATCGCGAGACGCCCGAGCTCAGCGGCAGAGCAGAAGGCAAGTAGGCATATCATACGCAAAATAGCTAGGAAAGCTCGAGATAATCGGGAGGAGAAGTTGCCCGTCGAGGAGGGGAGGATCACGGACGACCGTGCTTCGCTGCGATGGCGCCAACGAACGGGCAGCCCCAGTCGGCCGCAGGTCGGTTGGTTCCTCACAGCTTTTAGTAAACCCACTCCTTACACAAGTGACATGGCTCGGCAAGGTCACATTATCTTGTCTTCGTAGATATCTCTTAGGAGCGTCTGCCTCAAACCCTTCGATCCATCGGACTCCACCATCTTCAGCACCGTTTCGAGATTCGGAATGGCTTTCGAGGCGTCGGGAGGTGTGCTCTCGAGCATGGACATCGAGAGCCTCAATGACTGATTAGAGCAGCGTTTCTCAAACTAAAGGGACGCGTCTCCCGGATTAAGGGAAAAAGTTCACCAGGGCTTGAGTTACACAATCGAGCACTGACCGCTCCTCGATCATGGGAACCCCGTCCAGGTTCCATGTAGAATCGGGAGGACACCGATTGAATAAAGAAAACTTCACATCGGACGAAACCGAATCCTGTGTACCTCGATGATTCTGGTGATATACGAATCAAGACCTGAGGATCCTTTGGGGCAATCGAGAATGCCTTTCACGTCCAAACTTACGGTAGTGTCTCTGACGCTACCTGCCAGGGGCTTTTTTTCCCAGACGGCGACTCCAGGGAACGCATCTACTCTCCGGTCTGACTCATAGAGGGGAGGATAGGTCCGCCACAGAATATCATCTCTCGGGCTCTGAGCGTACACCTGGGAGAGCCCAGTTCGTTACTCTGTGCTCATGGCTACAGGAATTAACGGCGGAATTATATTAGCACGCGTCACGAAATGAACGCCTGTGCTTCGCCAGTCCCCCTGTCTATTGCTTCTGGATGCTGAATTCATTTTCGACGGGAAACGTCTTCAAGAAGGTTGGGGTAGTAGGTAGTACGACACCAAAACTGTGTGACGAAAATCAAAAGTGTGTGACGAAAATCAAAAGTGTGTGACGAAAATATGTGACGAAATTCGTCCATTTCCAACTCCCCACAGCTCAGTCCCACCAACACTGATCGCAGTCCGCTTGGTGTCATAGTATAGCAAATTTACAGGACATTCAGTTAGGATACTTCCAACAGAATCTCCACACGCGCAGATCGATTCCTTGCCTCCTAAATGACACCCCATGCGAGATCAGAATTTTCGTCCGTGAGCATGGCTGCTCTTGGGAGAGGGCGATTTCGAACTTCCAGAGCGCGCGTAACAGCCCGATGGCTAAGGCAATGGCATTTTCGCATCGGACTTTTTCCAAAATCAAAAGAAGACGCTTTTTCAATTTCGGTAGAGAGGTCGACTTCACCAACGATAATGAGACCGGAAACTAACAGTTCCGAACGTCGGAAGTCCTGTTCAGGGACCAAAACTACGACTGATTGTGACAATCTAGTACGGGCGCTGGAAGGACAGCGCAATGGCGAACGCGTCGACTCAGTACGATGAGCCAGTCTGCCGGTCTCCCAGCGAAACTCCGAATGGTCGTAACGCGGAGGAAAAATTCATCATGCTCGCAGTATACGCTCACCAGCATACCACATTCAGAAACTTGAAGCACAAACTGAAGCGATTGTTGCGAGACTACGGAATGGATCCGTCGGCCGGTTCGAATGTTCCACTGCTGGTGCTCGGAGATTTCGACGTCTCCGAGACGGATTCCTCCAAGTTACAAGCGTTCCTCGGAAAACCTCGTGGACTGGGGCTACAGAACGATCCGAGAGAGAAGACGACACTCGGAACACATAGATCTGAGGTTCTCGAGACATATGGACGTTGTCTGCAGAACATACATATCATACTTTTCGTATCATCGGCCAGTGTTCAATAAGATTATTGTATGAAGATATTACCGACGTATAACGATCAGATTTGAAATCTCCGTTTGATCTTGCTGGTGGAGCCAGAAGAGGCGGCACGGGAGATATGGGAAGAGTCCCGGATGTTCATCACGGAATTTAGAGATATCGCAGGTGGATATTCGCTCGAGTCAGTCCCTCATCGATTCCACCCGCCAGCCTGCGAGACCTGGATCTCACTCGGAAGGAACTTTGGGTTCTCGGCTGGTGGAGCCTCACCAACGTCATCCATCCGCCGAACTCGGAAAAGTTAAGCATCAGGGCCGTGACTGGAGCCCATTTCTTAATGGGCTGAGGCGTCTCGGCCAACAACCTCTTATCTTCCGCATCAACGAGAATTACCTTCTTCAGGCGGGTTCGCGATGTGCAGCTGGTCGGACACGCTGATAATCTCTTCACCCTATTTCTTCGCAAGTCCCTCTCGGGATAGCGATCTCCGTAAAGCTACCCTCCCCAACTTCAAAGGGATTTGAGGCCTCAGATTCTGCTCTGATCATCGGGACTCGACCGCCATCTGCAAGTGGAAAAATCCGGAAGCCATGTGTGTATTATATGGCAGGGCTGGGTTCGCAACCACAAAATATTCATAGGTACGTGTCCGCCAGGATTGGATAGGAACAGATCTAGGGGAACGCATGGCTATCCGAGATCGGTCAGATGGCGAGGGTTTAAGTCGAATCAATAAGCCTTCTCTGACAGAAAATCATTCCATGAGCCTCGAGCTCGCCGCAACCACCTACTCTTTGAGGCGAGCAGCCTCGACTGAATGAGCTATCGGAAAACTTTCGATTCTAGGCGATTCTCCCCTGGAGGAGGAGCGGGGATCGGGGAAAGCTCAAAAAGAGCTGGCTCTCGATGTCTGCTGCTGGCCAGAATGCCCGGGAGCATTTGCTGTTGATTCCCGACACGTTCGACTTCGAGCTTGTGGTACGGCCCGGAGATTATTATAGTTTAAGAATATTGTAGGAGCTCTCTGGCTCCGACCCCTTACGCTAGGAGCGAAGCGATCTGCCGAGAAAATCGTATCGATCAGACCTCAACGTTCTGAAAGTTCAAGTATTCTTTCCTCGTTCTCATCGAAACAATTGGTTCGCTTTGTATCAATCGAGTGAATTTCAGCGCTGATATCATCAGTCGAAGTGAGTAAAGAGGACCCACGCGGAACCGGAGAGCCACGTGATCTTCCTTCGGTACCGCATAGAACTGCAACCTTGCTTCAACCGCTGGGGTGGAGAGGAGATTCGCGCTGCGATTGAATCATTTGTGCACCAGGGAGACAGTTATTGTCGGAAATCGATCCAGAATGGATAATCAATCTTCCTCATCAAGAAGACCGAATCGAAGACCGCAACCGCGGGGAGAGTTTAGATTCGAGACGCAACCGTTCCGCAACCGTCCGTGTTCTCGAGTATCTTGAGCGGGTTCCATTGGCGCCATTCCCCCGAACGCCAGGAGCCCAAGATGCAGATTTATTCGACGGGTTCGATCACTTGATCGTCGAGTGTGAGGAGCAGACGAGCCCCCACAATTCTGGATACGGTATCCGACGAGGCTACCTGCGACCGTTCTGACGGCGGTCTAAGATCGAGGGACCGGTCTCACGTCTCGTTTACCTCGCTCTCAGTGCCTCCTCCCCACCTCCCTATACAAGAGAGCGCTCGTCACTTCAAGCCTCACTCAAGCAGTCCGTTCCATTCGACACGTGTGCAATCGTCAGCTCATCGTTTCTTCGCTGCCTCATCGATTCGTTCGTCTCAGACAAACCGAAAATGCGTCTGGTGTATCTCTTACTCCTGCTCGGGCTTTTCGCTGATTCGGTAAAGCCAACGCTTTTGCCGACGGGATTGGCCCTGCTGGCCGCGGCCACACCTTTGAAATTCCTGGTGGCTCTATCTGGAATCAAGATCGGACTCCTGAAGTTGAAACTCCTCAAAGCTCATCTCGTGGGACCACTCGCCGTCGGCGTTGCGGGCAAGGCTGCTATCGTTGGCACCAAAGCTCTCGTTGCCAAGAAAGCGGCTATGGTCCTAAAGGCGAAAAAGGCCCTTCTACAACTCCCGATGAAGGCTGCCGCGATGAAAATCGGTGCCATAGCCGGAGCTCACGCTGGAGCCAAAGCTGGAGTGGCCGGATTCAGGTCCATGCCGAAATTCGAATGGATCCATCCAGTGGTCATTTCTGCATCGGCTCTTCTCAGCAAACCCGTTCACAGCGCTGGAACCCCGATCGTCCCGCCTGAGCCCCAAGAACCTTCCTACGGACACAAAACACCATCCCGTGCTCCTGCTGCCCCGGCCTATGCTCCCGCTCCAGAACCCCACTACCGCAAACGTCGCGAGGTGGAAGAGACTCTAGAAAGCGAAGATCTGACACAGAGCTTCCGGGAGATCTTCGAATTGATGAAGTCGAAAGACGAGAATCTCTGTGACGCTCGAACCATCTGTGAACTCGCCGTGAACCCGGAACTGCTCGAGACTTACGGTCCAGCGGTTCTCGGTCTCCTGCAAGATTTGAGCGACGATGAGTCCGAGCCTTGGACTCCCTACAAGCTCGCCATGAACACTGGACTCGGGTCGGGGTCTCCGGACACATGCGCCCGGGCCTACTCGAAATGCCCGAAAACCACCGAGGAGCTCATCGAAGAAGTCAAGCTCCAGGAGGAAATATCTGCGTAAAATTACTTTTCATGCGACTATTTATGGTTATCGTGCCCAAGGCGGGATGTGGCAACGAATAAAAATTTTGTTATATATAAGAGCTTATGCTTCCTCTTTGATGGCAATCGTCGTTGGCCTCTCTGATGATCAGGCTTTGCGACTCAAGAGCATCGCGACCGAATCCGACTACTGGCTTGAAAAATGACACGTCGGAGCGAAATTCGGTAGTCAAAGTTCAGCCGAGATGAGCGAACCCATAGGTCGGATCTCATCAATACTATGTTTCTATGATACTATCCGTTTCCGAAAATCCCGAATACAGCAAGACCCGATCTGAGAATGGCGGAAGTCCAATACTACGGCGATTCGTGGGATTCAGAGCGCAGATTATTCCTTGCAAGTAAAGGTGAGGCATTCAGGCAGAAACGTTCGAAGTCGGCTACCGTCCTCGCGGAAATCGCTTGCGGCAAGTGTTCAGAAGTTGACGGAAACTGTAAGTCGCGATTCTGCACAATTGAATGAAGCGAGTCCGTGGAAGCTCAAGACACGGGAGAGAAACGAACCGACGCAACGGGAACCGGGACCGCTTGCCCAAGTATGACGCGGGCAGCTCACCGAATACTTTTTAGCCCACCGAGGACTTCCATCAATATCGACCTCGAGCGTGAAGGCTGAGTACGGTTCGCCGCCGGCCATCAGCGCCATATAGGAGAATTCGGTTCGTAAAATCAAATGCAGTCCGTATGCATGCGACATGGGAGAGTCGCAAAGTTGGAAGGTAGATCGTAGATCGATTCTACAATATCTCCCACGGCGTTGGATTAACAAGAAGCCTCAAGCTTGGTCTTAGAGCCGTGGGCGGACCCTATTTTCCAGTGAGGCTGAGCGGTCCGTTCGAGAACCAGTCATTCATTGCTTCAACGAGAGATACAGCCACTGAAACAAATATTTGGGCTTAACGCCGGAGTACCAAGCTCATTCTCTCTTGACATTTCCCAGCAAAATTTTTCAGGGACGAGGATTCTTGCGAGACTATGCTCCTTGAAATCCAGGAGCCTGAGGCTTTGGCCTGGTAGTTCGTATCCCCCATCAATTTTCGGAAGGGAAGGGGGCCCTTAGTTCTCGTATAGGTATTGAATACCAGAGCCTGTCCAGAAGCTCTTCGTCCACGTCAGGATGCCTGAGCCCAGAGAGGAAGAGGCAGAATACTGCACTCATATATCGTTCACCGGCTGTGCGGCGGACCGGGCCTTGATTCCGGCCGGATCAGACCGAAACAGACTCAAAGAGATGCGTACGGATCCGAGAGTCCTCAGAAAGCTGGTGACCCTGCGCGAGTGTATGAGTCCTACTGCTTATATGTTCGAGCGCCGACTCCCCCCGATCAGAAACTGATCGAACGAACCGAAATCCGCTTGAGCTCCTCTTCTGGAACGGGCAGCCTCAAAGACTCGCGCAATCGGAGGCAGCAGCTGCGCACGAGGCACGCTCTTCTGCTGACTAGTAGCTCTGCCCTTCTGCTGCCGCAAAACAGGAGAGCCACGTGATCCCCATGCGGTACCGGAGGGAGCGGTGCACAACGTGGATTGAATCGCCAGAGTGATACAAGGGATACTCCTGGCGCAATTAAGAAATCTGTGCACGTGAGAGTCAGTCCTCGTCGACGAATCGATCTATGTACATAGAATCAATGATCAATCTTCCTCATGAAGAAGACCGAATCGGAGACTGCGGCTGGAGAGGGAGACTCCGTCCGATCCGTCTGGGGGCCGGTGTCTGCGAGTCTCCATATTGGATCCTATCGGTGCGAGTGGGGACGAGAATGCAGCTTCGTTCGTCTGGTTGTTCCGCCTGAAGACGTCTGGTCAGAGTCGCCGTTCTGAAGCTGGCGAGCTTGAACCATTACGAAAAGGGTATTCAGTAAGAGTATGCCCCTCTAGTGTTGGAGCGGTCACTCTCCAATTGAGCGGTCTCACGTCTCGTTTACCTCCCTTCCCACCTACACTATACGAGGGAGCGCTCGTCACTTCAAGCCTCACTCAAGCAGTCCGTTCCTTTCGACACGTGTGCAATCGTCAGCTCATCGTTCCTTCGCTGCCTCATCGATTCGTTCGTCTCAGACAAACCGAAAATGCGTCTTGTGTACCTCCTACTTCTGCTCGGGCTTTTCGCCGATTCGGTAAAGCCAACGCTTTTGCCGACGGGATTGGCCCTGCTGGCCGCGGCCACACCTCTGAAATTCCTGGTGGCTCTATCTGGAATCAAGATCGGACTCCTGAAGTTGAAACTCCTCAAAGCTCATCTCGTGGGACCACTCGCCGTCGGTGTTGCGGGCAAGGCTGCAATTGTTGGCACCAAAGCGCTCGTTGCCAAGAAAGCGGCTATGGTCCTCAAGGCAAAAAAGGCTCTTATACAACTTCCGATGAAGGCTGCCGCGATGAAAATCGGCGCCATAGCCGGAGCGCACGCTGGAGCCAAAGCTGGAGTGGCCGGATTCAGGTCCATGCCGAAATTCGAATGGATACATCCAGTGGTCATTTCTGCATCGGCTCTTCTCAGCAAACCCGTTCACAGCGCTGGAACCCCGATCGTCCCGCCTGAGCCCCAAGAACCTTCCTACGGACACAAAACACCATCCCGTGCTCCTACTGCCCCGGCCTACGCTCCCGCTCCAGAACCCCACTACCGCAAACGTCGCGAGGTGGAAGGGACTCCGGTGAACGGAGACTTGGCACAGGAGATCCGCGTGCTTTTCGAAGAGTTCAGGACTCGAGATACGGATCACTGTTTCGCCCGCATAATCTGTGAACTCGCCGTCGATCCGCGCCAGCTCTGGCCCTTCGGCACAACGGTCCTCGGCCTCTTGGAGAGTTTGAGCGATGAGGAATCTGAGCCTTGGGCACCCTACAAGCTCGCCATGAGCACTGGGCAGGAATGGAAATCCCAGGACGCGTGTGCTCGGGTTTACGCAGACTGCGAGCAGCAGACCGAGGAACTCATTCAAGCAGCTCAAGCACGACAGCGAGAATTAGCTTAGACTGAAATTCAGGAATATTATTTAAAGTTATGGTTATCATGTCCGAGACGAAATTCGGCATCGAATAAATTGAAAGTTTTCCGAGATCTTGTGCTCTTTCAACGACCACCTATCACCGCCTCGTGAACTATAAACCAGTCATCGCGATTCTAGAGACAATGCGCTTGATCTCGACCGATCCCGGACGAATCCGGGGACTCCCTCTATGAGGGAACTTGGATCTTGTGCGCTCTTCCTCGGTCGCTTCCGCCGCATTTTCCGCCCGTCATTGAGCAGAAGGAAGCAATCCATATGATACAGGACTCGCAATTCCTCATTCGACTCCGACGAATGCACTCAGAGTCCTCCGTGGCGTTCAGAGCTCCGAATCGAGCTAAGGAACCAAACAAATGTCGTGGTGGACGTATACATACATATGTACCTATCGAAGTGTCAAGTACCGCCAGGGAGCGCCAGCGTCGCCTTTGTACCAGACTGGGGCTCCAAACCTATGGTTTCGCTCCACATCGAGTCTTCGGCAACTCGAAATACTCCTGAGTATGCTCTGAAATTCGTCTAGCTTGTTTTCTAGGGAGCATCGCGATGTACATACCCTTCAGCTCTAGGGCTCTTGAGCAATTCAGGTCGTCCCGACGCCAACGTTGACACTCGAAACGCCCTTATGCTTTCGGTGGTCATGCGTGGACAGGAAACGGAATGATAAAATCCTCATTTCCGAAGCGGATCGAGTTACTGGAGATGCTTCTCGGGAAAGGGAGCCTCTCCAATGTAGGGAACTCAATCCAGGTCACCTCGCTCCAAACTGGGCGCCATCAGATCGCAACCTTCTCGAACTGATGGTGCACTGAGCTTCGAACCAGCGCTCCACCACGCTCGACTACAAACAAAAAATTCTCGATCGATTGTTTGCCTCCAGGAGCGCAATTACCAGAGGGAATCCTAATTCCCCTGGAAAGTGGCGCTCATGTGTTCCTGGCGGAGATATAGCCCGAGTGGAATTTTTTCCCGTGATGGTCCCTTCCTAAGAAACTCACTCGGAAAATCCACCTGCTTCAGGTCATTATAGCTGGACCTTGAAGGTCCGGCAACGATGAGCTCACGAGAGCACGAGCCGAACTAGCTTGGGACGGGTCTCTCTATCGGAGCTTCCAATTCGAGCGACCGTGGACCGGATTTCCACGGACTACTCATCAATGGTTTCCGACGCTCTTCCATGCGATTGACTGCTGATCACGAGAGCGGTGGGGGAAGCTCACCCAGCTTGTCCGAAGATGAGCGAGCTCAGCTCCCGACGATGAGCAACGATTCCGGGGAGGATATGCAGGACATTTCTTATATGAGGCATGCGATCGCGAGTACGCGGTCAATAAAATCGTCTATGCTCACGTAGAAATCGAATGGAACTGGCAGCGGCGTATCGATTGAAAGTAATACTCTCCACCATACAATCCTACGATGGAAAATCGGAAGACTTGATATCACTTCAGCAGACGGAAAACCCGAAGGCCTTGCCTCGATTCCCCCTAAGATGATTCACCCTTGAATCCCGGCGAGACGGAACTCATCCGTCGGACAGTCTGCCCTTTTTCGGTTGACTGGGTCGGGATTCCCTCCGAATATCCGGCGTAGAGGGGTATGAGACGTTTTCCCATGAACACGAGGTGACCGCATGGCGAATCTACCGGGAGCCCTTATCCAGTCAGAGGTCACGTCGAAGTGGCCTCGCCAAGCCATTCTTGATCCGTATAACCGCATCGGAAACGCTTCGGAAGTTCTGTTGAAGAAAAAGGTGTCCGTCACCTCTGCATCCTACGCCAGAAATTTCAAGGTCTGAGAATGGAAGCATCAGGGGCTCAACGAAGATTTATTTGATTAGTCCCAATACGGAGTCATCATGCCCGTTCTCGGGATATCTAATCTGTCCCTGGATGATGATAGACAAGCATCGAGTAAAAGAGATCCTCCATCTGACCCATTCAATTCGGCGGGAAATTCGTGGTTTCCGGTGATGTCTCGAATACAGAACTTGTCGCAGCTATCGAAACTACGGAGCTATTGTGGTGCCTCCCGATCGATTGAGCGAAGTCGCTCGAGAATCACTACGAACTCCACCGCGGCTCATGGCGGGTCTTTCGACCGCTTGCGACTCTGTTCGAGTCGAGCCATCGATCGACAGCGGCATTGGCGGAGATCACGGGTGAGGAGTCGATCGGTCGGTCGGCCGGCCAATGGATCACGAATGAACGGCGCATGTCTAGGATCGACCTTGAGGGGAGTATATCCGCAGCGCTCTGTTGGAACATCCCGACCGAGCTGCTGGAAGTTCCGCAACGGAAAGTGCGAGAAACGACGGGATCTGATGATCGTGAACTCAATGAACGGATGCAGGGTGAAAAATTGTCCATGTCGCGATGTCGTTGAATCTCTCGAGGATATTCTCAGACGGCGGGACCTGCGGTGGAGGTCATTTAGCGTCGAGCAGGGGGCTCACACCCCCTTCCGAGCGGTGCGAGCGGAGGTTTAGATCGAAAAACAAACACAATCGCGATCAATTAAGGTTTTGCAAACAGAGGCACAAGAGCCCGCGCGTTTCGGCGGGTGTGAACCCCCAGCCGCTGGGAGCATCAGCGAACGAGACTTGTGCTCTGACGGCGTAAATCCCGAATCGAGATCTTTGTAAGCTCCATAGAGAAGAGATCAAAGTTGCCGTCGACCTGAGCAAGTGCGCGAAGCGAAACGCTCTCCTGTCCAAGGCTCGGTCCGTGTCGCACGATGAAGGGGGGAGGGGGCAGCACACGAGCGGAATCGGTCGACGTCTCGCCGAAGAGCGTATGCGGAGACGCTTCCGAATCGGCTCGTCCATCTAGAGCTAGAGGCGAAGTGTAGGAAATGGAACCTGGGACTGGAAACCACGGGAGTGACTGACGTCAAGTCGTGAGAAACTCTCTGCACGTCTCCACTGTTTCACCCTTACGGCGCACTCTCCCGAGACGCTCCGGTCCTCGACCATAAAAAGTCTGAACCCCTGGTTGGAAATCAGTCTCAATCGTTCTCGTAGCTCTCCAACGCTCTGTGCATAGATACCGTCTGGTTGTGCGAACGACACTCAAGATGCGCTTGTTACCTCTGGTGTTCCTCCTGATGTTGGTGTGCTCCTCTTCAGCCACCTCCAACTTGCTGAGGATTAAAGGCATCACCTTCCTCAAGGTGAAACTGGCGAAACTGAAAGCACCTCTTCTGGTGCCGATTAAAATTGCGGGTAAAGCCTTCGCGGTAGGACATTTCGCCAAAAAGGTCGCTGCCTTCCATAGCCTGAAATCCGCTGCGGTGGAACTACCGTTCAAAGCGGCCGCACTGACGATCGGAGCCGTCCACGGCGCCTACGCTGGTGCACGAGCTGCTCTTGCAGCTCACGGGACTCTACACAGGCGCCCTTATGCCCCGATGATCCCCGCATCGTACTTCTTGAATCTGCCCATCGGAACCCCCGCTCCCGAGCTCGGCTACAGGAGAAAAACTCCGGCCTACGGCCCCGCCCCTCCGGTTCACCGTGAACCCGCC